CCAGCTTTTGCAGACTTGGTTGCGTCCCTATATTTTATCTTGAATTGTATTTTTGATGCTGCAGCCTTTTGATAGAAATATGTATCTCCAATTTATGGACTTTGTTGTAACTTGTATTGAGTTAAAAAATAATTAGAAGTTCACACTTGTTTTTATAGTTGAAGACTTGAATGAGTTTTGAGTGCAATGGTTGAGCTATACCGGTTGATTCCATCATTCCAAGAAAAATAATGAAAAACATACAAGTTTAATTGTAGGAGAAAATACAAAGTTTCTATCAAGGGGTATTTATGTAAACACTATTTAACTTGGGTTAAATTCCATTACAGGGCGATTGGTTGGAGGGATAGGGATAAGAGGGATAAGGAGGCAGGATAAAGAGAGGGAATTGATAGGTGAGACAAGGATAAATAATTCTTATCCCATATTTGGTAAGTATGGGAAATAAATTAGGGATAAGTAATAAAATTATAAAGGGAAATTCTACGCTATAACCCTCAAGAGTTCAAAATTCTACGCTCTGCCCATGGTTTTTGAAATGTCTAGGTCCATTTATTAAGTGTATGGTAACCCACGTCATCAAGCATTTATGACGGACGTTAGGTGAGCATTAAAGAGATCACCTAATTCTAACTTTTCACTGTCACTTTCTCTCTCCTTCAGATTTCCCTCCTTAACTCACCCCTGTTTCATTTCTTCTCTTCTTTACGAATTTGATAAAAAAAAAAACCCTAAATTGCAAAGCAAAAAGGGACTTCTTTATTAGGAGTAGTGGCGAATAATCTAGGGTTTGCTTCTGCGAATTTTGGCGAAGAACTTAAGGTTGTGCGAAGAAGACATCTTTTGCGAAGAAGGTATGGTTGCTCTATCTTACCCTAACCCTTACAATTATGATGAAAGGTTGTTGATTGATGTTGCGATTGTTAGTGTAAATGCATAAAGGTTATAAATTTGCAATCTTTTTGTTAAGTATGTATTTATTATAGCTGCATGACCTTAATTGTGGGAGAAATCAGGGTCATTATGTGTTTTTCGGGTTGTTTGTGGCTGGGTTAGTTGATGTTTCTGGGTTATGGGATGGTTGTTTTTTTTTTTACCTGTGCAATTTGTATGTGTATGAGTTTGGTAGTTGTGAAGTGTTTTTACTTTGTGTTTGATGATTGTATGGGTAACACATTTTGCAGATGGTAGAGCAAAGGATTTTGAAAATTCATTATCGTGCTAATTGTGTTGATTTAACAATTGATGATGTGGATAAGTGTTTGTTAATTGATGTGATTAATGATATGTGTGAGGAGTTTGCAAATAGAGGGTTTGAGTTATCTAAATACCCTAGGCTGCATTACTGTTATAATTAGAAAGCTATTAATTTAGTTGATGATGGAACTTTGATGAATATGTTTGAGACTATTGAAAACAAAGAGATTGATATTTAGGTTGGTTGTTTGAGTGAGCCCTCCTTTATTCTGACTTTCAAGAACTGTTAAACCACAACAACTTAAGCCCAATGAACATGGCCTTAATTCTACAAGCTCAAATGTTGCTGGCCCACAAACTAATCATGAACCAGTAGCTGGTCCATCTCACTCAAAATCTGTACCAGAAGGCACACCTGTTAGCAGCCCTGTTTCTCATAAACCTGGCCCATTTGCTTCTTCATCTAAGCCACCTAGATCCAAACTACCAGTCAAGAGAAAGAGCCCAAGAATTTCAGCTCCACAAAACTCACCTCCATAAAAACTTAGCTTCATTACACCCATCTATCCCTTTGTCTACTGGTAGTAGGAGGTTGCCAAGGTTGTTAGAGGAAATATCCTTTTTTCCCCTCCTCATGTTTCACTAGCAGCCTCTAACAACAATTTAGAACATTCAAACCATTCCCAATTTTCTTCACCTTCATCAACTAGGAGGAGCCCGAGGTTGCAATTGCAGCAAGGCCAAAGTTCATCACCAATCCCTCAGGCAAACCCTAGTGTCTCTCCTAAACCAGCAAGAGTTAGGCGTAGAACAGTCATATTCCCTCATGGCAAGAAAATAATGCCTCATAACACTGCTAGGTTGAAGGGGATTCATATACCATCAACTCAAGAGTCACAAGTGACAGAGCCAGTACATAATACAAGGGGTAGGTGTAGATCAAGAGATCCTGATGTATGTTATGAAGAAGAAGGAAGTTCTTCCGGATCTGACAGCGAAGGTGAGTATGTACCCCTAAATGAGGAAGAGGATGAAGAGAGTGATGATAATGTTATGGAAGAGAATGTCAAAGATCTTTTAAATCATAACTTCATAGATGGTAATTGGGAGCCATTTCAAGCACTTGAGAGAACATTTGAGGTTGATGGTTGTTTGAGTAAGCTATATAAAAATGGTGAGGTGTATGATGATGCTATGATAGGAAAGATAAGCTTGAGAGCATGGCAACTGTTTGTGGACAGGAAACATTTCAAGGATGTGCTGAGAGACTATTGCATCCAGGAAGGATTTGCATTAGTTGTTAGGAGGGCAGAGCATGATAGGTACACTGCAGAGTGTGCTGACATTAGATGCTCTTGGAGAATTCATGCAAGCATGTTGAATGATGGATGTACTTGGGCTATAAAGAGTATTAAGATCCCCATGTCTGTGACTTGAATCTAGTCCACAACCCTATGTGCAACTGTGAGTGGGCAGCAAAGAAGTTGTTGGATGACATTAGAGTAAGCCTTGAGATCAAAGGGAAAGCAATTAATGAATTGTTGTGGGAAAGATTTGGTATTACTATGGCTATCTCAACTGTGTATAAGATGAAACGCATTGCTATGAAGATGATTCAAGGTGGTCATGATGATTCTTACAACAAGTTGATAGCATATTGCCACTTACTGAAAGAAAGAAACCCTGGTACAATTGCTTTTTGTACATGGAAGGAGTTACAACAGCCTGAGCACCCTTTGCAGTTTAGGTCTATCTTTATTAGCTATGCTGCTCAGTTCAGAGGTCTTATAGAAGGTTGTAGAGGATTAATTGGAGTTGATGGATGCCACCTAAAAGGGAATTATGGTGGAGTCCTATTGTCAGCTGTCTCATTGGATGGAAACAATGAGATCTTCCCTATTGCAGTAGCAGTGGTTGACTCAGAGAACAAGCAGACATGGTGTTGGTTTTTTCACCACTTAAAGGAAATTTTGACTGAAATAGGAAGAACTGATTGAACCATAATGTTATACAGACAAAAGGTATGTAATGGTCCTTTTAATTATTATAGAATTGAATTTGGGTTATTATTAGCACTAACTGTCATTTGTATGTGGTGGCAGGGTATTGATCCCTCCTTGGATCAAATATGGCCCAAGGTTCCTAGGAGGTACTGTGAAAGACATCTGTGCAAGATTTTCAAGTCTCAGTACCGCATAATCTGTTTTGGGCAGCCACTAATGTATACTCAGAGTTCAACTTTAGGAAGGCATAAATCAAGCTGCAATCAGTTGCTGGGTTGGGAGTTGTCAAGTGGTTTAGAGAACTTGGTCCACTTGACAGATGGACTAGGTGGAGATTTAATAGCCAACTATGTTCAGATAAGAACACTAATAACTTTGTGGAGAGCTTCAACAACACAATTGGAATTGACAAGAACTACCCCATTCTCACCCTTTTGGAAGGTATTGAAAGTACCTTCTTTTTTACTTGCTATTAAGTTGACTGTATGACAACATTGTGTACTTTTTGGTGTAGGTGTTAGGAGAATAGAAATGGTTAGGCATGCTACAAGACAACAAAGCAGTGAGCAATGGGTTGATGGATTTTGGCCCATAACATCAGACAAAGAGTCAGGGTTCTGATGAAAGAGTCCAGGTTTTGTCATGCTTACCCAGCTGGAAGGAGTGAGTATGAAATCTCAGATGGTAAAAGTATGCTCCTTGTCTCATTGAACTCAAGGACTTGTGTATGTGGAGGGTGGCAAATCAGTGGGATTCCATGTAGACATGGAATTAAGGCACTGTTAGATGTTGGAAAAGAGCCAATTGATTATGTCAGTGAGTGGTATTCATTGGCTAGGTATAAGGCAGCTTATGCTGGGAACATCTTGCCCATCCCAGATCCTGAACAGTGGCCTAATTTGGAATTCCCAAAGATGGTGCCTCCACCAATCAAAAGAAGTGTGGGTAGACCCTCAAGAATTAGAAGAAGAGAGGAGGGAGAGCAAAGAAAAGGAAAGAGAAGTGCTACTGTGAAATGCCAGAAATGTCAACAATATGGACATAACACTTTAACTTGCAAGGGGGGAGCAACTAAGAAGGAGTTGCTAGCACAACAGGGGAAGACAACACAGCAAGCTAAAGGTAAGGGCAAAATGGCTACAAGGCAATGCAGTCAACCAAGTAACACCAACTTGATTGAGCTCAAGATACATGGAGCTACATCATCACAGTTAATTCCCAAGACCCAGCCAGTGCACATTCCTACTTCAAGTTAGCCACCATCTACCAGAAACAGGTCCATGCCACCTCCCAAAACCAGTTCCAGCCAACCTATCCCAAGACCAAGTACTAGATCAGATGCCAGAGGTTCTGCATCCACTCAGCCTCCACCATCATCAGAATTGCACCAGAGCATTAGCCCAAAGAGGCAAAAAATTATGAACAGGTTGTCAATGCTGTAATTTGATCCCCTGTTGCAGTTCTTTTGGCATCACTTTTGCAAAGAACATTACTCTGAGTTTGTATCACTTAAGTGGTTTATTTTAACTAGCAAATTGCTTTATTTCAGTGCCTTTTTTTTTACTAGAAAACTGCTTAAATTATGGGTTTGTTTATTGTAACCAACAGTTATGATGTTGATATGATTAGACCATCTCAGTGATGATGTTTATATGTTTAGCAAATTTTGTCATGTCTTATATAATTAGCCCATCTTAGTCATGTCTTATATGGCTATTTGTAATTGCAAATATATAATGCATGAATGAACACAAGAACACAATTAAATCAAAACCCAAATTTATTTATACCATATATCATTTAATCTGGGTTACAATTGCACCAAATTTGGCAATTACAATCGATTACCCCATTTTTAAGCATAAAAATCACCACTAAAATAACATACATAAACACTCCAACCCTCACAATTTCCCTAACATAAGACATAAAATCTTCCAGATTCAACATCACTGCTTCAATCCCATTGCTGTTGTTCTTCAGCGCATCAAGCCCTTCAATATCACTCTCATCCAGCCACTTGAAGAATCCACAATCATTGCACTTGAAAAAAGCTTTCCTTGGGTTCCGGTTCGTGGTTGAGATCTTCATCTTCGCAATTTTGGGTGGCTTGCACCAACATCGTGGGCTGATAAACTCTAAAGCACAAGTCGAATTTGAAGAAAAAGAGCTGCGAGAGCTTGTTGAAGACATGAATGCGTTTTAGAGAGAGAAAACTATAGAAACCCTAATTAAATTGTAATTTGGGGAAAAATAAGGGGAAGGGTTATTAATAAAGGGAGGGAATGGAGAGAAGTATAATTAGAGGGAATTTTTCCTACCAAACTTAACTTATCTGACAAAAACGCTGATTCAATTAAGTTAACGGAACCATATCAACGGACACTTAACGCCAAGGTTACTGTACACTTACTAAATGGACCTTGGGGTTATAGTGTAGACATTTCAAAAACCATGGGCACAGCGTAGAATTTCGAACTCCTGAGTTCAGTTTGTTTTAGAGGGTTTATGAGTGATTTAAAGAGTGCATATATTGCTGAAAATTTGTGTGGAATAGGTATTAATGCCCCTTTGTAATTTTGGTTTGTAGGAGACTTCCAAGTGAGTGATTTTATTTAGTCGTGGCGACTTTGAGATCATATTCAAGGTATGTTCGCGTACTTGGTAATTATTTGAATATGTAGAAGTATGCTAGGCTTTGTTAAATTAATTTCAAGTAGTATCATGATAGGTGTTGGTTGGAATCTGTTGATTGGATTGATGTTGGTAAATGATTTGTGATGTATGAATTGTTTATGATAAATTGGTGATTAGAATTAATTATGTTGGCATGTTAATTATGAACCACACTTTAATTGTTGGCATGATGGAGAACATGTTTAATTAAACTAAATTTTTAATTTAGTTTGGAATATGAAAAGGAAATTTTATTATGGTTCAATAATTTTAATTGATGCTATAAGCATGAGGGAGGAGCTATTTAAGTGTCTTAATACACAGGAATAAATTATATTGCGGTGCCTATGTGCACTTAAGGTGTTCTAAACACCGAGGGATAGGATTTGCTGGACTTTATGCGCTTTAGGTGTTATATAACACCGAAGTAGTTTAAAAAGGATTTAACATTAAATTTATATGGTCACTAATTATTCAAGAATTAAATTGTTATGTTTGATTGCTTGAATGAAGTATAATGTTTGATTGTGTTATGGTTTGAGAGTCATCACCAAGTATAATAATATGTAAACAACGTAAAGTGAAAGAGATTACGCACCAAAATTCTTGGATTGTATATACCTCGAGTATGGACATATGGGGGGAGTTATGGGGTTTTATATTTAACTATGACTTCTACTGGGAGTACAGGATGCTGTATTTTCCTTTTTATTTATTTTATGCGCAGGATGTCCAGTCACTTCATGTGACATTTGCCTACCCGGTTAGCTCCCGGTGTAGTTTACCTCAATTTATTTGGGGCAGGGATTTGGTGGGAAACCCGTTCGATGCGTAATCAAATTAAATAAGCAATTCATTTATTTATTGGTTGGTCATTTGGTATGTTGTATACTTGTAAACAGGTGCAACAAGGTAAGTTGTGTGATGATAGGATGAAAGCATGTTAGTGTGTTTTATTACGCTTATGTACTCAGCGTTGCTGATTGTGTGTTGTATGTTTGTTTGGCCTTGTCTTTACCTTGGCCCTACGACGACCGATTTCTAATGGCGAGTAGTGGGGACAAGTAGAGAGAAGTTTTTCAGGTGATGAAACATTTTCATGATGGGCTTGAGTGAAGAGCGATTCATGCTTAGTTTCTATAGGAATATGACGTGTTTTATTTGCTTTGAATATTATTTATTTTATTATGCTCATGAGATTGACGTAAATATTTTTAGTATTATTTGGTTTTAAGGGCCTACGATGATTCCAAGTTGTAGATTGACTTTGTTTGACTTTACTTTCGTTTTGTTTGACTTTTAAGTTGACTTGTTTTGAATTGTTTTTAAAGAAAGTCTTCCGCTGTGTGTCTTTGATATTTGCCTTAGCCGTTTTCACGGTGGCAGTAATGTCTTAGATTTTCCTATTTCGTATTTTAAAAGGGCAAAACAGGTATTTAAAGGAAAGGAATTTCTAGGGTGTTACAGTAATAAATCCTCTTATATAAGTGTGGATAACCGGTGATCTCATTATCCATGAATTGTTGAGCTAAAATCCATTGCTCTTGATCACCCATGAACAAGGTGGCAACACAATGAAAGCCGCAATTACTATCACCAATGACATCATTCCACCCCGTTATGTAAGGCAATATAGGTCCGGGGAGCAAGTGAGCGTACCTACATTGTTCGATGTTGAATCCATTTCCTCCTAAAAAAAATACACATTCGTAATTGGTAGATAATAAATCATCAATTATTAGATATGTATGCTATAAAAAACATTATTACAAAAAAATAAAACATATCGGATTCAGTTTGACGGTTTTGCCTTGAACCATGTTGGCTCGACCTTCTCCCTCCATGACCGCTAGTGTTACGCTCAACATTCTCGAAATGGCTACGATCACACCTAGTAGAACGATCCCGTGGTCGACCCCATGTTGAGTGATTCACTTCCGGATCCTCAAGATCTGAATGATTCGGATGCAGCTCATCTTCAATAATGCGAGAAACATTCCGAACCGTATCAAGGTCACTAGCCAAAACCTCATCGACAAGGGAACGAAAATGTGTTGCTTCTTCTGCCGACTCGTCGACGAACTGCGGTATATCAACACCATCACCAATGACAAGGATCTGCCGAAATGGATGAATTTGGTTGCAATACAATCTTTTCTTATCATGCATTGAATCATAAATCTGGCAAGCACATGGTATCCCATGGGTGATCCGTAGAGCACAATCGCAACGCACATGTACCTCGTAACTCAACTCTCTCATTCTTTCCGTCTCATCGTAAAGAACAGACAGACAATGATGAGAAACTTTTCCATTTAGTCGCTGCAACGGCATGTGCCTGTACTTCTCACCCACTTTAGATCTACTAGCCTCCAAAGCGTTATGTATTCCAACGATCAGATTTCCAATCTGGAAATGCACTCGAGCCCATACCGTATCTAAAGAACCAGTCGATGATTCCATCCAACTCTTGACTGCCGAGTGTTGACTCTCAATTCTACATGTACAAACGTTACCATAGTGCATAACCCTATTCGTCCAACATGTCACAAATTTCTCTTTCTAGGGGAGCCAAGTAGTCTCAACATAATCCACAACTTTCGGATATCGACCCCAACTTGTTTTCAATCTCTGCAAGGCTAACTCATATTCCGGCTCAGATGTAGCATCCATGACTCGTTTCCACCTACCATTTTTTTAACTTTGCACCCACAGTCTTGTCCTTGAACAATCCAGTCACATAAGCTTCGACATCCTTATTAATGTGCCACCTACAAAGTAAATGCGTAGTGTGAGGAAACTCGACTTTCAATGCTGCACAAAGTCCAAGCTCAAGGTCAGTTAAGAACACTGATGGCTCCCGTTGGTATCCGATCAAATCCCTCAATCTCTAAAGCACCCATCGATAACTAGCCCGTGTCTCGTTTCTCATGAACACATAGCCAACAAGGAAATTTTGATTGGTCGGTGTAACCCCAACTATCTCAAAGAATGGCATGCCGCATCTATTTGTCTTGTACGTAGAGTCCATACCAATCACGTACGGATACGTGCGTCACAAGTTTCACGTGATCGGATGCACCATGAATGCATGCTGTAAAACACCGATGTCATCAGCCATAACCCAGTAAATGTAGTGACTCTCTCTAGCCAAATGCAGAAATTGTTGAACCACTCCTCTTCCTTCAGACTCCTCCATTATGATGTCACTTCTACAATTGTATATATGCCTGATGTTTGGATGATCTTCAGGAAATTGCTCTATAATGGTTTCCATCATATTAAGAGGCGCAACCTTTGACCTCGTCAAGTTACGCACAACCTGTTTCGCTCCTGAACTAAGACCGCTGATTTGTCGATGACCTTCAAGATACACAATGGATGGATGATTGTGGGTGCCGGTTACATCATTTTTAGCACGGATCCTCCAACCATCGGTGCTTCTCTCGTAATAAATCTTGATGTAGAAAGGACACCCAACGAACTTGGTTTTAGCGTCCTTACGAATCACATTCTCCAAATTAAATCTCTTAGCCTTTTCTTCCGACCATGATCGCAAGACAAATATCGATACAGCTGACCATCAGTGGTTTTTTAGAACGATGATGAGACGAATAGAAATCCAGTTGGCCGGGCAATTTCTTTCGCCCATTCAACAGCAGCATCATAACTAGGAAACACTGTGTCGGTTTGAAAATGGCCACTATAATTCACACCATCACCACCGTTTTCTGATTCCGAATCCTATATAAAAAACCACAAAACAAACTACTTAAGAACCCATATAATAATAATAATAATAATAATAATAATAATAATAATAATAGTTAAATATTAATAATAATTAAATAATATAATAATAATTTATTTAATAATAATAAACGACATAAATATAATAATAACAATAATAAGTAGAAATGCCTGAAATGTTTGAATGTACCATGGAAGAAACGCTTGAAAATTTAGAATCTACCATGGAACATTCTAAAATTTCAGGCGTTTCTACCACGGTTCGCCTGATATTTTAGTATGTCCCATGGTAGATTCTAAATTTTCAGGCGTTCCCATGAACATTTGAAAGTACTATGTGGAACGCCTGCTATTTTTGAATCTACCATGGGACATACTAAAATATCAAGCGATTTATGGTAGGAACGCCTGAAATTAGAATGTCCCATGGTAAATTCTAAATTTTCAGGAGTTTCTAAAAAATTCATCCGTACGCACAGGCGACCTCTCCAGTGGCGTCGTCAATTCCGCAAACTCGTCCATTCACCGCTTGTGTAAATCGTTTTTGAATTAGTATTTTTTTTTTTTGAAATTATGACGTGGAAAGGTGGATGGTGGTTGTCTGGTGCCGGTGGTTGATTGGTGGCTGGTGGGGTAAAAATAAAATAGGGTAAATTTATAAGGGGTAAAAGTAAATTTGAGTAAGAGTAAACTAGGGTAAAATTAAAAGGGGGCATGTTTGTAATGTCGTGTTAAAATACGGGCGTTACCCGGTAAATATTGGACGCGATTTAGCAATTCACTTTTTTTTGTTACAGTGGTATTTTTAATGTACTATTATACATGTATTTTATACTACTAGAGTATGGGTTGTGTTAGTAGTACTATTTATAATTATTATAGGTACCAGTAGTACAATAATATTTGATGACAATTTATATACTTATTTGTTCCACTAGAAAAACATTTTTCAACTACTCTTTTGTCTTATTCATGCTATTTACTTGCCACGTAAATAGTAGCTATGTGTAAATACTTAACCAAGACCATTGCTTTTGAATTGTAATACGCCATCATAAGTAATGTTATCTTATAACGAACACTACCCTCTAAGGTTAACACAACTACCTAGAGCAGGGCATCATGCCGTGCCTCGCCGTGTTAGGAGGTGGGTCGTGCAGTGCCGTGTCGGGCCAGGGTGATGGCAGGCCGTGCCGTGCCGGGCCACCAAATGGCACAGCCGGGTTGCGTGCCAACCCATTATTTTTATTATTAATTAATTAATTTTAATATTTTATTATTTATAGTTCTTTATATTTTATTCTTTATATTATTTTTATTTTTATTATTTATGGTTTTTTAGTTATTTTTATTATTATGGTTCGTATTGGCGGGCAAAAAGTTCGTGTCGCCCGCGAGCTCGTGCCGAATTTTTATTTTTTTTGTTCACGGCACGACCCACGACCCATCCCTCGTTCCTCGTGCTGTGGCGTGCCGCTACAAGGCTCGTGCCGTGTCAGGCCATTCCCGTGTCGCCCGCGGGCCGGCCCGATCCATGCCCAGCTCTACAACTACCCAAAAGAAAGCGAATGACCCCAAAGTTCAAATTATTTAAAAATTAGGAAAAATTCATTTAATACCAACTTTGATCAATAATTCATTGTAAATTTACTATAAATAATCCTAGTTTTCGTTTATTATGCAATAATTCCAACTTTCATATGTGTTTTTTTTTCTTCAATCCCAGCAGGTCATCAACCTGATGTAATTTAACACGTGATTGGTATAAAAATTAAAAAATAAATATAAAAAATAAAAAAAAAATCCAAAATTAAAAAGAAAGGAAAGAAAAAAAGAAAGCCATCGGCCACCAACGATGGTGGCCTCCTCACCCACCGCTCCACCTCTACCCTAACCCCAAACCACTGGAAAACGACTCCTTCCCTTCCCCACACCTAATGTAATACTCCTTCCTGCCCCCATCCCCGAAAATGCCCCCTTCCTAGCATAATTTGACCATAAAACCATTCAATAAGGGTCCGACTGTTAGAATAAAAAAACCTATCAAAATCAATCTGACCCAGGTCTAATCCTAGCATAACCAATTCGGTCTTCCATTCATGAATTTTATTAGTTTCCGGTCTTTAGTTCAATTTAGTTTGATCTTAAACCAGTGGACAACCCTCAATAACACAATCGAGTTTTCAGTCTTTATTTCTGTTCAGTTTGATCTTAAACAAGTGAACAACCCTTAATAGCATAATCCGATATAAAACTTGCAAGAGTTGGCTTAAGTGGTAAAAGGTCTCGGGTTCAAGCCTCACCGTATGCAGAAACTCTTGTTGGGAGACTCACCCACCATAAGTCAAGTGTGCGACCTGGATCGAATCCGAATGTAGTCTAAACTAAGCTGCGGTGAGCCGGGTAGACATCCCTAAAAAAAAAAAAAATCCGACCATAAAACTATTCATTAGGGGTCCATCCGTCCGAATAGAAACAAAAGTCAAAAGTAGTCATAAACTATTGACCCTTGATCCAATAGAAGTATTTACTTTCATGCAGGAGTCTCCCTCCCAAATATGAAATACCCTATAACACAACATAGTATCATCAAAAGAAGCCGGTTGGGTCTGCACTTGTTCGACTTAGCTTATGTTTTTCACCCTCTTCTGATACTCACTTCCAACGTTCACTCTTTTCTTACACTACTAAACCAGAAACCCTTCTCCTTTTTTCTTGGGATTTTCATCTTCAAATCATCAAAAGAATCAAAACCCAGATTTTATTTCCTTCCAATTTTTGTTACCACCCAAGAATTTAATTCCTCTGAAATAATACCCAAATCTTTTCTGATTTTTCAAACCCTTTTCTGGGTTCCTCTGTTCTTCCCGTTATAGCAGTCAAGAATTTCATTCTGATCTTTCTGAAAAATTAATCACTTTGTTTAATTTTTCTGAGTTATTTTTGTTTCCAAGAACTCCAAAAATGAAGAAGAAAGATATCAAAAAGAAGTCTTTACAGAAAATCAGAGCAAAAGATGGGTCTGTCAGAGATCAACTAATACCCTTAAATTCATCAAAAAATTCAGAAAATATACACAAAATTCAAATGGGTATTGGAAAAAATCATCATTTGAGTAGTAAATTGCAAGAATTTTCCATTAAATCTTCGTGGGTATCTTCTGAAATGTACAAAAATGGCAGAAAATTCGTCTGCAAATTATGTGGAAAAGGGTTCAAGTCTGCTAGAGCTGTGTTTGGGCATTTGAGATGTCATTCAAAGAGAAAATCTGAGGCTGAATTTGAGGATTGTTCTGTCAATGAAGGCTTGTTGGAGCAGGAACTAAGTAAGCAGCCGGAGACGCCTCGAAAGAAAAGATCAGGAAGGAGGTATACTGATAAAACTAATTGTTCTAATAGCACTTCTTGGTGTAATTTGTATGGCTCAAATTCTTCTGTTACCGATGAAGAAGAATTATTAGATATTGCTGCTTCTTTGTTGATGCTTTCTAAGGGTGGGTTTTATTCTGTTGATCATGTTTCTGATAACGATGATGCTTCGGTAAAATTAGAACCTAGACTGTCTATTAACTCTGTTAGTAATGATGCTAATGGTGTTGATAATATGGCCGAACGCGCTGCTGCTGTTGAATCAGGGTTATATGTTGATTCAGGGTTATATGTTGATGTTTTGAGAAGTGCGTGTGATTCTGTAAATGAGAACAGAAAAGAATTTCAGGGTTTTGATTGTGGGTTGTCTTTGAACCAGATTGAGAATATTGAACATGGACCTGTTTCTGATGTTGAGATTCAGTCTGATATGCTGCTGTATGATGCTGGAATTAAGAATGGGGCTATTGGGGTTCTTGTGGATGGTACATTGTTTAGTAATTCGAATGCTATTACTTGTGTTCCTGCTGCCGAAGAAACAAAGTATGAGTCTGTCGATGTTGGTGCTCGTATGTATGATGAATCAAATTTAAGAACTTGTGGTCGAACAAATCAAGATAACATTGGAAGTGGACCTAGTGTTCATAGTGAGCAGGAATCTGTGTTGTTTGATGCCAAAATCAATTATGCTAGTGTGGTTTTGGAAGAAGATAAAATGGCTATTAAATTGAGTCCAAAGTGCAGTGATCCTGTGATTGAAGAAAAAAAGCATGAGAATGTAGGAGTTGCTGATCAAACACCTGATAAATGTAATTCAGGAGTTAGTGAACCACCAATGGAAAATTCTTCCTCCGAAAAGTGCCAGAAGCATGTCTGCAGTATCTGCAAGAAGAGTTTCCTGTCATATCAGTCTTTGGGAGGCCATCGTTTGCACTGCCAGAGGCTTTGTCGTTTGGAAATCCAAGCACACATGAATGCGAACATAAGTACTAACATCATTACTCATGGTGAGAAAGATGGTGTCGAAGATGGGATGAAAATTGGGGATAACAAAACGAAGAAGAGATGGAACCACGACAATGATAAGAAGAAGAGATGGAAGAAGCACAGATGTCTGATGTGTAACAAAGATTTTCGCTCAGGCCAAGCTTTGGGTGGACATATGAGGGCTCATTATCAGAGCAAAGATCATGCCAACGAGGCAGAGAATGTGGCTTATGATAAAGAAAATTTAGCAGATGTCGAAGAAGAGAGAAAAGAAGAGAATGATACCTATGATGATAAAATCTTAGCAGCAGTCAGAGATCTAAGAAAGCAAGAGAATGATGTTTGCTCCAACAAAATTCAGCAGTCATTAAAGGAAAGACAAATGATCATCGTGCCCCAAGGCAACATACCCTTGATGATCTAGTTTTAGCATAATTGTGACTGATTTCTACCAACATTGTTTTTGTAAAGATAGGAGGAGGTGAGACCTTATTTTCGAGTTTGAACTGCTAGCTGATTAGATTCTGACTGTTTTTGTGGAACACTTCGTTCTAACTTGTTTCCTTTTTGTCTCATTATAGTCGCCTTGTTCTAACTAGCAATTCATTTTATCCAAACAAATGTGAACTATATTGAAGAATTCATCTCATTTGTAGTTAAATGTTGCTGTAACATCTGGTTGGTGGCTATGTGATATAGATTGATGAGCTAGACGCTTAAATGAAAGTTTTCTGTTTATTAGTATCCAAGGAACTTTTTGGGTCATTGCATTTTGCTGGTCCTGCAATTCCTTATGTATCTGCAGTATTTGTACTTTTTTTTTTCTTTTTGACAGAGGGCAAAAAAATCATATGTGATTTCCTGCAAGATCTTTGCTTCTCTAGTAAGTAGTAACTAACGCCTGCAAGGAGTGCGGATTACAATCAACAGTTATAACAGTGGAATTTGGGACGCGACTACCAATTATGGTCCAGGCATTCCTGTAAAGAAGTGTAGGTGATCACTTCCATCTAGCATTGCAGCCACATTTGGTTTGGTGTTGACAGTTAGGTGCAGCGTTCGTTCCATTCTGAATTACCAATCTCAGCCGTGTTCAATACTTTTCAGAATGCTCGGTGCATTTAGTATTACCCTTTTTGAGACTTATTTCCTTCTTCCCTGCTTCCATTGCTCCACTGGAAGAAATCAAACTGATGGTGCTACCTAGGTTTGGTGAAACAATTATATGAATGATATTGGTCTTGTGACTAGGAGTTGTAGCTTCAAAACTAAAATCTACTTCAAGATATTCTAGTTGAGCATTTCTGCGCGAATTCAGATGATTAACATGTATGACAGTAGAAGTCCTCGGCCAAATGAATGAAAATTCAGTGTTGCCTTGAGTTTTGTTGAAAATCTTTCTGATACTAGTACACCAAATTGCTCAAAGATTAGTCCTTCTCAAAAATTTCGATATATTACATAAAATTCTGTTAGCAGTTGCAGAAGTTACCCCCCTCCTCTCACCGAGCAGCATCGAGACAGTACCTCTGATCAGTAGTTCAGGGTTTTTTTTATTGCAAACATTGTTCTGAGTCCAGCAGAAAATACCTTTTACTACGTAGTATTGACCTTGGTTTGTATCTGTATTAATTATTAAACTACTATAATCACTAGCCTAATTGCAATTTGCGTTTGTTTTTTGGTGATCAGTAAAACTTGCATATTATGTAATGAACTTTGTTCACCAAAAGCAGGCTCAAAAAATCACTTTTAGTCATTTGACAGTTTAAAAGTTTACAAGTTTATTTTCCACAAGATTAGAATAACTAAATAAGGCATTAGTTGTTGTGAGTAAAAAAAATGTATTGTGAATGTCTAATTTTATTGCCATGCTTTTAATTGCATTGGTAAAATTTCCCTCTACATTATTTTCATATTAAACTTTAGTGGCTAACACGTGATACTCTTAAACATATGGAGTAAAGTACTCGATTAAATGAAGAGAATGTCACGTGGCGTGTAAACTTGTTTAAGAACGCTTTTTAATATATACTACAGACTATAGATGTTTAGGGATGTAATATTTTTCATTTTTGTCTTTGATTTTGGAAGAAAAATTATTGATTGAAATGCCAAATTGAACTTTATTTTTGTTTTTGACTTTATGTACGTAATCGAAGCATTTGGTACTCAACGAAAGAGTATTTGTTACCATATTAATGTCTTCATGAGTACCAAATAAAGTGTATTTGGTATTATACTATCTAAAAGTATAACATTTCTTTTGTAATCTAATAAGTGTTTCATTCGTATTTTTTGCATTATTCACTTAACTTACTTTGACTAATGTTGCCCGATGAATAATTACATATACTCTATTTCGAACAAATCTATAATAACCATCAAATTTACAATCAACAACAACAACAAAATCACTGTAGGTACTAAGTAAGATATACTGATTGAGTAAATCACCCCCAGACCAAGCGAAAATCAATAAAAAACCCATCAAAACAAATATACCCAATGTCACTTTTAACAAGTAATTTTCAATTTCTTTCAAAAAAAAAAAAAAAAAAAGAAAAAAGAAAAAAAAAAGAAGTGATTTTGACTCTCTTCCTCCTCCATTTAAGCACATCTTCATAATCTCTTCATCGACAAAAATAACCCTACTTTACAAATACTAACATATCAATAAAAACACAGGAGGCTAAGTTTATGTCTGAAACAACTTACAATTAAGTATAAGCAAAAGCTAACGAGGGTTTCCAGGGCATTAGATTTTTATAAAATATTAATGTAAAATTAAAATTAATTACATAGATTGAGTTGTGATTTTGTCATTCATTACTAAATTAGTACTATTTTGAGTTAAATTAGCAAAAGTTTTTGCATGCATTAGGTATACAATAAATTTAATGTACATCCAATTATTTTATATCAAAAGTTATCAAAATTATCACAAAAGTTACCCTTATTACCCAGTTAATTTTATTCTCATCAAATTATCCTTAAACTATCAAAAATTACTCATAAACTCCCAAAAGTTGCCCATAATTCGTTAGCAAGATCCTTATCAGATATACATGAGTAATAATTTAGTAGAATTTCATTAAGACAAGGACTCCAAATAACATATTTATTCCCAATTTCATTGTGAAATTACCAATATATCCCCTAATATACCAACTACTCGTATGTATATAATGCTGATTATCTTGTATTTGCTCTTTTGTTTGTTTATTATCTCAGACAAATTCACAAATAGTAGTATTGAGAAAGAATGTCAATTTTCCGGTGTCTGCTGCATCCTTTACCTCTTCCTACTCCGCTCTTTTTTCCTCGCCAAAAAGCCTTGAACTTGTCATTTCCCTGCCTCTGGATAAGTCCAAAACAATCTCACGCATTCTCACTTGAACGTAGAACACTATCAACATCTTCTTCAACCAATGTTTCCACTGATTTTGCCCCCAATCTTACTGGTATACTTCTACTTTCTTTCTTCCCTTTCGATTTATCAGTGATTTGTTCAAGATTAATGCACCTTTATTTTGTTTTGTTTTGTCTTATATTGTTCAATATGTTCATTGTTGTACTTTTGATTTTTTGAACTGGGTTTTTCGGGTAGTCGGAGACTGTTATGTGTTTGTGAAATACTTCATCTGTCCTTTTTTAATCAATCGCAATGTTAAATGTTTGGGATTTTGGACTATTTATTTTTATGTCTTCCTTTGACTTCTTTTGTGATTAATACATTAAAATATATTACTCTTTTGTGATTAATACGTTAAATATATTATAGTCACGTGTAATGTTGTTAAATCCGTCTCAATTTATACATTTTAAATGTCGACTTTTATTAATTTTTTTGAAATATAATTAGAGATATTAATAATAAAAATGTTTATTGATAAGCGTGAAATTCCAGTGTTGCAATTAAAAAAGGACGAAGGAAGTTTTAGCCATGGAGTATTGATTTCTTGTAAAATTGTGATTGTTGTATTGTGTTAGAGTGATGCTTGAGATTGAAACTCATAATTAAACTGATATTTTTTTTTTTTTTTTGAAACAAAGATATATTGTGTAGACAAGATTTGATATCACGTACCACCCTAAGACCTCACCAACTAAACTTGTTAGGTTTTCTAGTATAAATCAAATACAAATTTGTGGGAACAAAACCTAAAAACAGTGTATAATTGCAACTAATTATACAACCAAACCAATACAACGATATGTATTCAAACCAAGCACTTATAATTCAAAGAATTACAGAAATTACAATGAATTCAACTAATATGAATGATTACAAACTTGCTTTACTTCCAAGCCTTCCAATCGAACATGAACATGAGAATATGAATGACCACGTCAGTCTCAAACCATGATACTTCGTCTTAGGCGTGTGAAACACTTTCCTAAAGAGATTAATTTCCCACACAACGGTGCTTGGGTTTTTATTGGAAATTCTCTTTGAGATACAAAAGACGACAAATCGTTCTTAGCACTTAGAGACGAAATTAGATGATAAATTCACAAAAATTGGCTAAATTGATAGAGGTTTTCAACAAGAGTTTGCAAGATTCTTGAGAGAAAATGTGGAGAGAATACTTGGAGAGGAAATGTAAAAAATGAAAACTGAATTCCTTCGTAAAAACGAAAACATCTTTTAATAAAGAAATAACCGCAGATGAGGGGAGGTGACGCGGGCGCGCCTCCCGAGTTTCCAAATTTTTGCCTCGATCCAGAACTCTTGCGCGGTTGTGTCGCGCTTCCAGCGCGGGTCGCGCCAACCTGGCGCAGGCGTACTAAACAGTGGCGCGAGCGACGCACTTCGAAATCAAAATTCCTTCACTGGATCCAGAAAGTCAGCGTGATTTTATCACGCCTGATTCGCAGGTCACGCCCTAAACGCGGGACGCACAATCCTTACAGATTCATACACTCTAAATTACTAACAAAACTAGATGACATCCATAAGAGTGAATGGATTGTAAACACCAAACTTATAACTTTTTGTTCAATGTTGCAGAAGTCAAATTTTCATTAAAACTTCATAAGGCTATTCTAATGGTTCAGGGCTGTCTAGCTGTCTATTTGTCTATTCGTCTAATTGCAGTTGTATCTGCAGTTAATAAGATTTTGTTTATCTCCAAACATACTCTCTTATGAGGCCTTGCTTATGTGTTTTGGGTGGAGCTCTGATGCTATAAGAAAAATTCATAACTTTGCCAACTATAAATTAAACTCGGTATAAGTTGATTTGTATTTCGTAATATGTTTGAATAGAAGAGGCTTACTATGGCTAATCAGCAATTGGAAATAAGAAAAATGTAGAGGATATAACTTTTGGCTTAGTATCTTGAAATTTTTTTTGAGAACATGTCGAAGCCAAGCAATAGATGCCGTGATTAGTCCCACAAAAAGAAATAAAGAATTGATACTCTTTAGGTAACATTTCTTATATCCTGATAGAATTTTTTTATGTTGGGAAAACTAAAATATTAGCTTTAAATGTGAAAGTCTACCCTTTTAAACACTTGAAATACAATATGGCAGGAGAATGAGATACAAAATCCATTCCAAGATTAAACCAAATGATTTAGTCCAATATGGGATTGGTATGAGGTTCCATATCAATCTATTCCAGTTAAGTGAACCAAACGGCCCCTATATACTATTAAGATACCGAATTTGATATTCATAATGAGAAATGTCAATTTCATTAATTATTATTTTTTTTTTTTAAATTTAATGGAAATGAGCACTAAAGGTTTATTTAGACTATTGCAAGATGAGCTACTGTTGGTCATGGGCTCAAGTTAAAGCTTTTGCTAATAGAGAACTTTGGATTAATGCTGTTATTTCTTCCTTGATTATTTTTACTCTTTCGATCTTACCTTTATCTTGCATCAGATGTTATTTATGTTGAATGGTATATATTTCCCTTTATCTTGCATCAGATGTTATTTATGTTGAATGGTATTCAATGGTTCCTTGCAGAGTTAGATGATGTTTTGAAGGGCTATATGTTTGGCCAGAAAAAGGCAACTGAAGTTGCTCATTTGTAGGTATTTGACCTAAATTCTGTTACCCTTGCTTCTAAACATATGCCTTTTTAAAAAAAAAAAAAAAAAAATCTGTTACCCATGCTTCTACAAAAAAAGTTTTTTTTTTTTTTTTTTTTTTTTTTTTTTTTTTTTTTTTTTCACTTCTCCTGAAATATATATCATGTAAGCTTTCATATACCAATTTTAGGCTATAATTTCATTAGTGAACTTTGGGACCTCTTATTGAGAGTGTGTGTGCTTTCATTTATTTTGCTGAACTATGACCATTCACATTTTTCATGTGCTAATATATCATTTTAATATAGGATATGGAAACTTGTGGTTCAAAAGGGTGATACAGTTGTTGATGCTACTTGCGGTAACGGCAATGATACCCTGGCATTGGCCAAGTTGGTGGTAGATGATGTAGCTAAAGGGTGCGTATATGGGATGGATATTCAGGACGATGCTATACAAAATACTTCATCCTTACTTGACCAATCACTTGATCGAAACCAGGTGTGGTTACATTGCTTTGGTTGCTTTCATTTGCTCTTTTTTTGTTAATTGCAAACTATGAGCACCTCCTCAGTAGTGCAATTGTCTACAATTTAAACTCTTATTTTGGGTTGTGCTAGCTGTCATCTGAGAAAATCATTATATTTCTCTGTATACTCATTTTTATTTGAAGTTTGAACTTATATCAGCTGTTTGATAGGAAACTAAAGTTTCTATCTTCTTTGTCATTGGTTTGATATATATTGTGCTCATCTGATTTGCACACAGCAAAGTTCTAGACCTTGATTCCACATATATCCAGTAGAAAGCCAGAAAGAAGCTTACCATTAATATTCTTCAATCTATATAGTGCTTATTAAGTGTTGGTTTAGTTTATGTGTGTGGTTTTCATGTTCGCTTCTGCTTTAAATGCATTGTTCAATGCTCAGTTCCCTTTTCATACGAACTGCTATAGCATTGTGAATTTGTGATATTAACTCAAACCTTTATGCAGAGAAAATATGTGAAGCTATTTTCAATATGTCACAGTAGAATGGTGGAAGTGCTTCCTAAGAATATCTCTGTGAGGTACTCTCTGCAGACTGTATGGATTTATGTTGTATCAGTCAAGATCAATGTTCAAATATACATTCAGCTCTCCATCTCGTACTTGTATTAATAAATAAATACCATTTATGTTTGATATTTTTGTATTACTAGTCATCAATCAATGTAATACTTTGTGCATGTTAGAAATGGCTTGGCATATTGTTAATATTGTCTTCTTTTTTTTTTTTCTTTTTTTTTTTAACAAAAAGCCAATTAAGAATGGAGCTCTTGCTAAACAAGGCTTGAATGGGTTTGTACTTTGCTTTAGGCTTGTTGCATTCAATTTGGGCTACCTTCCTGGAGGTGACAAGGGATTAATCACAAATTCAGCCACAACCTTGCTAGCACTCAAGGCAGCAAAGGAATTATTACTTCCTGGAGGAATCATTAGTGTCGTTGCTTATGTTGGACACCCTGGTGGAAGGTAATGCTTCTATTAGTAATTTTAAGTGATAATAGAGGGTGGAATATGGAGCGACCTATGGCAATTCTAAGTGTTTTTTGAACTACTACGAACACTTCATAGCTTTATGATGTTGTTTCAAAGTGCCTCTTATGAAACCTTTTTGTTATTTATCTATCCATTGCCATTCTAAGTTAAAATAATTTGTAGTTGTTTTATCTTATATGTATGTATGTAGTATCTGGTTAGATTCAACCCAATCTAAACTCAGTCCAAATGGCCCTTTTGGCACCTCTAGATTTAACTCTTTCCACTTTACACTTGGAAATCTCCATCTTATCTCGGAATGTCACTAGTACAGCAAGTTGCTTGTTTCATTTTGGTTTCCATTTACTTGTCTCAGCTTTCGGACTAGGGTTATCCTCTGTCCAACACCTACCTTGCTCTTATGCTTTTGAGAAGCTATAGACCATAATTATCTACTCTCTGCATTGATATCTTGCCTTCCATGTACTGCATATCCAAATCACTCACCATTGGATTTTCCTATACAATCATTATTAATAAAAGCATTTGATTTGAGTCTACCTTCTCAGTTTTGTATTGATTCAGAGTAATTGAAAGCATTTGATCTGCATCTGCATTCAAAGATTTCCGTTGAAGATAACATAACAATTCGCAGAGCTTTGTTCCAAAATAAACCGTGAAGTGTTAATGTCCATGTCAAAGTAACGATCATTTGACCCAAGTATAGAGTATAGCCTCAGCCATTTTGTGAAATGAATTGTACTTTTGCTCCAAAATTTACTGCCAAATGCCAATTTATATTAATGTTGATTATTTGACCCAAGTACTTGAGCAATGAAGAGTCAAAGCAACATAGGCTCCATGCTTGATTGTTTGTTCAATACTTGTAACTATTATAGATGTTGTTGTGCCCCTTTCCTTTTCATATATTAAAGTTACCTAACTATCAGTATTGAAGGCTAGTTTTTTTACTATACAAATATAATTCATCTGTTTTTGCTAATATATTCAATGGAATCCATTTGTCCCTTCAAAGTTACTTTGGAAAGATTTTTACATGTATTTGTAATCTCATATAATTATGTTTTTCTCTTCTATTTAGGGAAGAATATGAAATTGTCCGCTCGTTTGCAGCTGAGTTACCAGCAGATAAATGGGTCTGCAGCCACATTCAGATGTTAAACAAACCACTTGCACCGGTTCTTGTGTTTTTGTTCAAGAGATGAAACCATAACCGGTACTTAAGACTTTGAATGCTTTCATCATTTGATAGAACTCTTCTACTCATTTAGCTATGACCAATACTTTTTCTCTGTTTCAAAAAAAAAAAAAAAAAAATGTTGCAAGTAAGCCGATTGGGTAGTTATATGATATCAACAAATTATGTTGTCATATTTTCGAAAAATTTTAACTTTTTATTTTTATTTTTATTTTTTACTACATTCATTTATAGATTATGCATTCAACCCATTTATATAAATATGACAACCTAACCAGTTTAATTTCATATCGAGTTTATGTCAACCCAATAAATACAATCCAAAGGTGCTTATATCAATTTGAATTCATGTTAGATTGCCGTTGTCATGTGAGCTTTTGTCAGCCCTACTTTAAAATATATTGTACCATAGTTTAATTAGGTTTTTTCTTGTTCTCTTTGAACAATTATAGCAGAGGACGTATATTTTAATCTTACATTATATACCTTTCAAAACGATAAACGTTGGTTGCAGTACTCCCTTTGGAAGGTTCTATTTTTTTATTTTTTGGGACGGGAGGAGGGCCGGAGGGGGGATATTAGGGGTTGTAGTGCTGCAAAGGTAGTCAACGAAATGAAGTACATTTACAGACAATAATATGATTGGAATTCAAATTCATATCAGCTTCAGTGGTAAATCTACTGGGAACAACTAAAGAAATGAAGACATGAAGTACACCAAGTGCACAAAAACACACGCCCTCTTACCTCATCCCCAAAAAGAAAAGTTCTTAATTAAAAAGACAGCCGAAAGATTTTTGTTTTTTTTTTTTTTTTTTTTTTTTTTTTTTTTTTTTTTTTTGTATTTCATGTTCTATCCGATTGACCCTTTGGATTAATTTGGATTCGAGGCTCATTTCTGGATGGTTACTAGTTAGGTTTTAGTCCCCTTCCAATTATAGTTGTGGGGGATCAAACATGCAGTTGTCCCTACCAAGTGCAGCTCTAATTATCACTGCACCAAATCCAATTGGTAAAAACTGTCGAAAGATTCTTACATAATAACCTAACTCTCAAGGCTAGCCAAACTTTATTTTGCATTTTGTCATGATAATAATTGCAATACTTTCTTTTTAAATAAAAGAACTAATATAATAAAATGCTCATCTAGAGAAGTCTTGCATTTAAAAATCCACTAGCTTAGATAATTGTACTAAAAATGAAAAAGAGGAAGTATATTGCACGTGGCATTCTATCGCCACTCAGTAGATATTTATTTCAAATCAAATCACACCAAAACATAAAAGGAAAAATTAATTCTAATAATCCCACCTTTACCCAGTTCGCAGATAATAATCCTACCTATTGATTATAATTTAATAATCCCACCTTTGGGGTTTATCTTCTCCTATTGATCCCTTATGACCGGTAACTTGAAGAATGGGTAAGGTTTTTTTTTTCCTCATCCTCCGTCACAAGTCAGCCATTCTCTCTCCTCCCTTTCCCTTCCATGACTTTCCCACCTCACTTTCTCTCTCTTCATACCACAAGATAATAGATTAACAGTAGCAACAATAGGGGAAATGGGAAATGCGTAAGGCTGGGTGTTTCACGGGAAGGGAAAGGACGAGTTTTTTCAATGAGGGTTTCAAGGGTAGGGGTTTCGTGCATAGGGCTGTCGGCCGTGGTAGGGCGTGGGTAGGGGTGGCCAACCTTAGGTGGGGTTTTTCATGGGTGGGGCGGCGGAGTGACCAACCATGGGTGGGGTTTTTTTGTGGATGGGGATGGTTGGTCCGGGGGTGGGGGTGGCTGGTCGTGGGTGAGGGTGCCTGTTTTAGAGAGGAGGTGGCTGAGTGTGGGAGGTAGCTGGGTGGCCGGAATCAACGGAGGGGAAGGGGAAAAGGAAAGAGGAAAAGGGAAAGAAAATAATTAATTTTTTTTTTTTAAAAAAATAATTTTTTTTTTTAAATTAAAAAATATTTGGGCGAATCATAAAGTGACATGTGGCATATTCACCCACTATACCGGTTACTAACAGGTTAGGGACCATTAAAAAAAAAACTCCTAAAGGTGAGATTATTAAATAATAATCAATAGGTGGGATTATTATTTGCGAACCGGCTAAAGGTGGGATTATTACAATTTTTCCAACATAAAATTCCTTTAGATTTTAGAAGAGAATACCTATTTTTACATATACAATGTCAACCTTGCACGTGGCATTCTATAGATAGCCTAACAAGACATTTATTTACTGGCATAATAATTAAACTGGTAATAACTAGAAGCCATCTTAGTTGAGCTCATGGCAATTTAACTGGATGAATATTCCATATATCCTTAGCATATTCATGGATTGTTCGGTCGCTGCTAAACTTGAAAGAACCGGCTGTATTTAGTATTGACATTCTTGTCCATCTCTGCACATTACCATCAAACAGAACAGAGAGAATATCAGATTCATGACCATAATAGCCATTGAATGAATATGGGTACAGCAGCTGTCTTTCATGGGCAGCTATGCGCCACACACTTTCTGTGTGTGATAGACACTGTATTCAAGGACTTCTTTAGGATCCTTTCACAGCTCAATAAATAAAAAGCATATGTTTTATGTTCTTTTCTTTTATAATTCTTTAACAACTCAGGAAGTAAGCATGACTATAATAAACAAATTAGAGCTCCTTACCTGTTGATCTCTATACGCCTCATCCACTTTTTCTTGGCATTCTATATAAGTAGGGAAGTCTTTTCCCACGAGGAAATAATCACTGCGGCCATATCCTTCATTTCCCTCCAAAGACTCTAACAGTTCATCATAACTGCTTGAGCCAAAAACACCACTTTTAACATACTCCTTGACTTCTTCAAAACGTGGATCCGGCACAAACTACAAAAAACAGTTGAAAGTATTAAAATTAGATACACACAGATGGGTGCTTTAACACCATAAGGATTGTTATATATAATTCTAGTAATACAGAGAGATTGGGTAGTTCTTTCCTCAGTAAGCTCTCTAATATGAGGCGACCAAATGTGTATTAAGCACATAGTACAAGATTAACACTCTACACTAAATTTGTGGCAGCTAGAGAGTAATAATTCATGGAAACTTGTAAATTTCCCAGCATAAAAAATTTCAGGTTTGATCAATTCGAACCCAAGAAAGACCAGAGATAATTAATGCTACTGCAATAATATATGGCTGATTCAGAGACTCTCAGTAAACTCGTGCCATTAAAACATTTTGCAACAAATAATAAACCATGTAGTGTAAATTGACTGCAAGTATATCAAAAAGATAATCGGCAAACTTCAGGACCCTGAAATGTGTAACCTCTGAAGCAGAAAAACGTTAACAAAGCAGAAACTACTTGCAAGAAAAGGAATAATGACATGAAATTTGGGGCAGAGGGATAGGCACGAGAATTTGATGGGACAATACCTTGCCTTCAGCTCTTTCCTTTCTTAATCCAGCAATCTCATGTGCTTGAGCACCAAATAGAAAGAAGTTTTCTTCTCCGACTTCTTCTCTAATCTCAACATTGGCACCATCTAGGGTCCCAATTAAGATGCATCCATTCATTGAAAACTTCATATTGCTGGTTCCACTTGCCTCCATTCCAGCAGTGCTACAGGTATGGAAAAATCAAGAATCAAAATATCAAGTCATCAACCATATATTTGAAATTTGATATGCATATCAACTGTCAGTTTACCACATTTCAGCCATCGAAGTTGAAAATTGTGTTCTTAATTGACAGGGAAAGCGATCAGGTTGCTTCACTAGGTCCCAATGTCAAATGCACAAATGCAAAATTCCATTAATTTGTAGTTAAACAATGCATAAGTTATTCAACTTGATGGAAGTTAATGGCGTCTTTTGAGAAAAGACACCATGTGAAGATACATTCCCCACAAGTTCTGTTATTTCACTAGTACACACATATACATGTTCATGCAAAAAGATGCAACTTGATGCGTCTTTTCTTGGCAGGACTACTCATATGCATCCCTATAAATCTATAGAAAAATTATACTACGTATTTGTGCATTAGTCCATTTATCCTAGGAATACTGCTCATGAACCTGTTGTTTGATGGCAAAAAGTAGACAAAGTGTATTCCTTAGGAAAATATTTATTATTAAGGTACAGCATTCGACAATCATTAAGGTACAGCATTCGACAATTCTTAAGGTACAGCATTCGACATGGAGTATGAATATAATTAATTTGTTATTTTATTCTTTGATTTATGGGCACATTATCCAACTTAAATCACTACATGAGATTACAAATCGAAAGCCATCTCCTGAAATACAGTAGCTCACATAGTTATGTATACAGTATCAAAGTAGTAAAAGTAAATCTCCACAGAATCTAAAACTCTAGTTATTCTAGTAGCTAGACCTGTCACCTGTGCTGATAAGACAAGAAAAATAAGTTTGATAGTTCTAAATCGTTTTCAGATTCGTTCATGAATACAAGGCAAACTCTACCAAGGATGGTCATGACTGTCAGGTGAGAATTTTTTTGTTCTGAGGCATGCTCAAGAAGCTTAAAAATGCTTTCAGATGATTCTGCTATATTGTCAGCAGTATTGCCCAACGCTCGACACTGCATGTTGATGAGCAATGGATTCTTGCACACAATCAGTCTCGGCATGCTTACATAACTCACACACAGAATTGATTTAAAATAATAATTACGCAGCAAGGTAATGCTAGGGTTTCTTTTCATTGATATATATGATGGCCACAGCTAATCTAGGAGATAGAAATGCAATTTATAATAGCAATGAGAGTTAAGACTTAAGAGACAGAAAATCACTTGTCAAAGAAATAAAAAAAGGGTGATTAGAAGTGGATAGAGAAAATAGCAGGAGCGAAGGATATGCAAAAGAGAAAAAACTGGCATATACCGCCAGTTACTTGTATTGGCTTAGGGGCTGGACTTTTCCCATGACAGTAACTGATCGTGGTTGCTGCCAGGACATTGGCATGTTTTGGTGGTGATTAGCCATACAATACACACAAGGTGAATGAGGAAAGTGATTCGCAAGCAAACATAGTTAAAAATATAAAATATAAAATAAAATAAAAACTGATTTGTCTTCTGGTAAATCATTGCTGTCAAACTACTTACACAATTGAGGTATATGAGAAAACTACCACAATAAAACACAACTCCCACATTGGTCTCATAAGGAGAAAACAGAGCGTTGGAAGGGGCAAATTAAATGACTAAGGACAAGCATCATGTACTAAGATCATACCTCCATGATCTTTTATAGTTTGGCTGTACAATAGCAGGAATGGTTCCATTTCACTCAATATTTTAGACAAGATATTGTCATTGGCTTGGCAGTTACATCAAAAAAGATGGAATAGTTTATAAAATACACATGTAATCATTGACTTCATTTTAAATATATTTCAGCAGGTCCTCTTACAAGTCATATTGGAAGGATCATATTAGATAGTTTAGTATAACCAGACACTTCAAGAATGTGAGTTGAATTCATTAGATATGAGGACTATGTGAAACGGGAAATCGAATACCTTATATGCTGTGAAAGCTCACTTGCAGGGATCAATAACTCAGCCACACTTACGTTGTAATCAGGGACAAACACAACCTGAATGTCAGAATTTAACCACTATAAAATAAATTTTCTGATTAGAAAGATAAAATAAATATTTAGTTAGCAATAAGCAACCATCACAATTCCACAAACCAATACAGCTCCCAAGTAGGTATGAGAATTAATACCCCTCTGTCCATTTAAAAAGTGAAACATCAAGTCATGGCATAAATATTAAGGACTACTTAGACTTCTGTAATGAGAAAATAGATAGAGAGAAATGTGAGTCTCTGCCCAAGTGGTGAGGTGAGGTAGAGAAAAATTGCAAACTAAACGAGTGTTTCACTAGTTATAAGTGGGCAGAGGGAGTAATTGACATAAATCACAAAATCATATTAGTTTAAATAAATAAACAAATAAAAGACAGATGGCTAGCATTCTGTATTTCTTACAGTGTCTATATTTCAAAGATGATATTCCTTGTACACTTAACTGAGCCAATATCAGATAAAACCAAGTTCATGTAACATAATTCTACTGCGACATTCTCCTTAAGTACCAAGCTGAAGAATTAACAAAGAATTTTGGCAGTCGTCCAAACACAAGAAACTACACGACTGTAACTATCAACGTGGTTCTGTGGTCTAAAGACAGCATAACTAAAGGCACATATCTAACCTAGTGTTAATTATCTCTTCAAGAATATGCTAGACTGTTATATGCCTGAGAGAAGAATCACCTAATCAGCTAGCAGCCTAGTGCACTTGGGTTTTTTAATTTTAATTTTAATTTTTTTAATTTTTTAATTGTTTTTTTTATAATTATTATTATTATCAAACTGTGCTATCTTATACTCTGTTCTAAGGGTCAATGGTGTAACCAGATTTTCCTTTTACATGTACACGGTTCGCAGGACCATACAGTCTTAGAGAAGATTATTATTCTTAAAAGGATCAGAAAGCTTGAAAAGTCACTGATATAGCTCCAGTACAGAAAGGTTTTGCATTTAATTTTATTAGAAGAAACAACTAACATGGACCACTTGTAAGTAATTGTAGCATACTCTGTTAGCTCTAATGAACATATATATATATGCTGAATATATTCAACACAGGCCTAAGGCAACAGAAGAGATCCTTGACTAAAGAAATTTTAAACGCACTTTTCAGCGCTTACTCTGATCACATTATCTGATTCTTCAAACTCCCCCCCCCCCCCTTTCTTCCCTCTCCACAATACAGACACAGAAAAAAGATAGAAAACTGGAAGTCACAATATAATATTACTTTATAATAAAAATAAAACAAACAACATTTGCCAGTGTTATATTGTACAAAAGCATACCTTCAATAGATCACCAATGTCAGGATCATTATTAATTGCAGCTCCTACATCAGTGATAAATTTCACTATTCTTTTAGCCTGCACATATGTGGCAAAAGCTTTTCCTCCAAATATACAAACTCTTGGAACAAAGTTTGCTTTCCTCTCCACAGCACTCATCTCTTTCATTTTTTTGTAGCGGTATACAATTCCCAATATGTTTAGAAGTTGTCGCTTGTATTCATGAATACGCTTGATCTGGAAATCCAGTTAACAAACTATGTATATGAGAGGGAACAAGAAAAATTAAGAAACTTCCAGTGTAGAAATCAAAGAACATAGAAGCCTAGAAGAGAGTCGATGGACTATGCTAATAAAGTTGCAAGTTCGAAAATGTCAAAAAGGTTCAACCCCTTCCCCCTAAACAAAAAAAAAAAAAAAAAAAAAAAAAATTTAAAAATAAATAAATAAATAAAAAAGAATATGACACCTGGTGTAATAGTGAACATATTAGCGAATTCTCTCCCTTTTCTTCTCCACCCCCCCCCTCCCCCAAAAAAACACACAAACATGAATCATGAATGAACAGGAACAGAAGACAGCAGGTAGAGCTGCATGCAATTTTCCAGCTAACATCTAAGTACATGATCCACCACTCCTATTCTAACTAAAAATCATATCATTGAAGCAGCATCTTGAAACAATTTAATCTGTTAATGCAAAAGTAAAAGGCTACCTGAATATCAAACATTGCATCTGGGCTGACTGTGTAACCTGTTCTCTCTTTAATCAAAGAAACAACCTTCAGTTTGTTGTTCCGTTTTGCTGCCATCCATTCAGTATGAAGATCTTTGTTATCTGCAAACTGCAATCAGTTGCCCAGTATGTTACAGTTAGATAGGACAAAGGTGTTTGAAGCAGAATAAAGTGAACAAAGGAAAAGGACGAAACACTACTTAAAACAAATTAGCATGGTCTAAACTTTTGCAGCCAGTTGAAGAGAGCTGAATGAATCACTATCAGATAGTTTTTTATTTATAGAATGCAACAGATTTAAATTGTCTTATGCAAGAGTGTCAATGCTTATTTATAGTGAAGCAGCAGTCCCTTTTAAGCATGTCCAGTTAGAGACCAGAGAAAATCTCTTTGCAATTGCATTTGTAAAATAGCATGCATCTGATTCACCGACTACCACTACTATCCCGCATGATCTAATGAATAAACGAGCCTCTTGACCCTTGTGAGGCATTAGGCAATATTAAATGGGATTATGAGAAACGAATGAACCCAGCTACTAGAGAGAATGTAACATGGAGAACAATAATTTATATTTTTGTCCTTTTCTTCATTATTCTGTTCCCCTATTTTCGAAATAAATAGATACTATAAAGAGTACTGTTATATAACTTTGTAGGACATACTCATCCAGAAACCCTTAGGAAGAGTTGGGGAAAGGGAGATTAGAGTAAATTGATTAAAAAGAGGGATAAGGAGCGAGAATTAATTAGTGAGAAATTCATTACATGACTATTTTTGTTTGATTTATGATAGAATATGTGAATAATCCAAATAAAATAAAATAAAATAAAAAAAAATAAAATAAAAATAAATAAAATAAATAAAAAAAAAACAGATTAATGTCAATATTATCCCTCCTTTGCTCTCTACCTTTAGAGTCAATATTATCACTTTGCCTTCATTCCTAACTTCCTCATCCAACCACCAACATATTCTCAAACCAAATAAGAAAATTTCAATTCCCATTTATACTTGATGTCACATGACTTGGCCTAATGTACACTCATCACACCTCTTCAAAGAAGGCAGCTAAACCCTCTCCAAACACTTTAAAAGAAGAACAAGCAACACGCAATTTCAAAGAATTGGAAACGCCAGGTACTAGTTGTTATGGGCGAATGATAAACTCCAAAAACCCTACCACAGACTTGTAGCAGGCTCATTCTAGTTGCAGTGCCAAGGGTTTTGTGCACATATTTTCAAAGGCATAGCCTGTAGATACCCTTATCATAGATATCTCAACAGATACCCTTACTTTGTCTGCTTGACATTTATTACAAAAGCCTAATCATATCCTCATAGCTTCTTTTCTAATCACTACTTTTTCTCTCAAGAATTCTAGCCCATTTTATATATTTCCTTACTTGATTCTCAGAGAGATTTTCCAAACAACTCTTGGTGGAAAGCTCCTCTACCTTGCACTCATCAAGATGCAGCCTGGCACAGAGGCTTACTTTATAAAGTCATCCTTTTAAAGATTCTTAAGCTCAAGTTCCAATCACATTCTTGTATTCCTATGAAGCAAATAATCAACTATATATACATCGGTATTATTAAGTGGTACCCCTGAGGCCCGCCCTGAGGTTTACAAAGGCACCTCTATGTTGTCAAAATTTCACCTGGTACTCTTGAGATTCGCAAATCTTCACTTGATGCCCTTAATGACTAACGGAACCTAACTCCATTATCTTCTCCATCTTCGGTTTGCAAAAATGAATACAGCTTAAACCACAATACATAAATGAATATGAAACATATTGTTACCTTTCGCAATTCTGCAAGTTTCTCAGTGTTAAGAACCCAGTCTTCGGACCCAATCCATTTTGTTAAGATACTGCTTAGTTCTGGATTGCAAAACCGGATCCATCTTCTTGGAGTCACCCCATTTGTTTTATTCTGAAATTTCTCTGGCCACAACTGAAAGAACTCAAACCTTAATTGTGATACAAAATATTTCCAAAGAAAAGTTACACAGCTTTATACCAAGTTACAAATTTTACCTCAAAGAAGTCGCGGAAAACTTGTTCCTTCACTATTTGGCTATGAATTTCAGCAACCCCATTTACTGCATGGCCCCCAACTACGCAAAGGTTAGCCATCCGGACCATTTTTGGTGGTTCTGGAACTGGCTCTTCCTCTATCTTCGTCTCCACAACATCTTCCTCACTTTCCTCTACAACAACCAGTCCATCTTGTTCATTAGGAATTTCAATTTTTTCATGCTCTTCAGCTTGACAGGTCATTTTTTCCTTGATTAAACTGGAAACTGAACTTGGAAGATCAAAATTCTCCAGTATTCTCAACTCGTTCAACTTTTCTATCAGTAATTCAGGATCATTAGAACCATACTTAGATACGATAGTTTCAACAAGCTGTAAATAGTCAATATATTGTATTAGAACGGGAAATGATAGGTCCAAACAGGAAACACAAAACATTTAAATGGTAAATATATGAGATCACCTCCTTATCTATTTTCTCTATGATCTCAACATGTCGAGGAAGCAAGGTTTGCATAAGTTCATAACTCCACTTCTCCAATGCCTCCGGCAAAACGGTATGATTTGTATAGGCAACAGTTCTGTCAAATAGACAACGAAACATAAGCTGGGAGGACCACAATACTATTTAATCAAATCCTCAAACAACAGCACATAAAATCAGTTCAATTGTACTGTCTTCAAGAAACATTAAAAGAAATCACTGACAAAAATAAATAAAAATAATTGTGCAATTGGGCTAGGTAGTGAGAAACCCTTTTTTTTGGAGGGTTGTGTTACTAAATTAAACTTCCTTAAAAACAAAATCCTGTAGAGAGAACACATTCCCTTGAAACAGGAAACCATCTTTGTTTACTGGGAAAAGCAAGAAATTGCACATGGATCTAAGTCAATGGGTATCTTGAAGGCATAGGTCACACCTAGGAACATCCGTTGGTAATCATCTGCTGCCACTGTGGCTGACAACCACCGAGCCAGATTGGTAAATCACATCTATTATCAAAAAACTAATTTAAATCTTCTATGCCACCTAAAAGTGCTAAAGGGATCTAAAAGAAAATATGTGAGGTCAAAGATACTTCTGCATTGGTTAAATAACACAAGTAATCTTAGTAACAATAAGCCCTCATCATGATATTCTATAATTTTTATCTCCAGTGGCTTTTCTTGGCTCTCCAATTCTCCTAGTAAAGAAGGCAGGCGTACCTAAATTTGGCATAGAATAAATGCCGCTTTACACCCCCCCCCCCAACCCCTCGCTCTCAGTCATAGATTCATATGTTAGCTTCCACGCTTGGATTTAAAAAAAAAAAAACAAAGCACAGCCTGGTGCTCCTACAGGACAGGGATGATATCAGACCATTCTGTTGCCATGAATCTGGGATCACCAATGACTTTTTGAAATGAACAGATAACAGAAAAGATTTAGAGCTGAGCCATTGACCACATGGAGCATGTGATACAAGGAAACTGAACAAGTGCAAGCTAGGAATGATTTAAGGATTAATAAGGCACTGAAACCTGATATATTGATTTAGAGATTGCAATTTGAAAAGCAATAATTGGAATTATGCATATAATTCCTAAAATGTTTGTAAAACTGATACATGATGAAGGGTACTAGTGAGTTGTAGTTGAGTCTTCCTATCTTCTGTGCACTGGAAAGATCCTTCCTAAAATTATATCCACCAATGACTTCATATGCCACAAAATTACATATATTATAGTAAAATTGATGAATAGAATAATTGTTATATACTTTTCATCACCACAACTTAAAGCTATTCTGCTCTTCTTAAAAACTCTTAACTCCATCAGTAATATTGCTTATTACTTAAAGTCTGACCTTGGAATGTGATTGCTGGGTCTAACTATCACATTATATTTCTGGAATACTGGTAATTTCAAGGCATGAGGAAGTAGATTTAAAATACAGGATTGTATATCTCTTTCCATATGATAGCTGCAGAGGCTTGGCATATATTCCACAACAGTGAATTAGATTGCCTTTCTCACAATCAATGCCCACCCACTCCCCCAAAAGCAAGAAAAAAAGAAAGGCATTTCTGTTGTGTCACTAATGTAAACCATTAGATCGTAGGAAGTACCTTTGGGTTATATTCCAAGATTCCTTCCAGCTAAGTCCTTTCACATCTATTAATATCCTCATTAGTTCGGGTATACACAACGTTGGGTGGGTGTCATTCATCTGCAAAGCCACCTTCTCTGGAAAATCTTCCCATTTAACATGTTCCCCTGATCTCCTTTCAAATTGCGAAATAATGTCTTGCAAAGAAGCCGAACATAGGGTGTACTGTTGCTTCAGACGAAGGATCTTTCCTTGCATAGACTCATCCCCAGGGTATAGTACACTACAGATCTGTGAAAAGAGAATTGATAATGCCATTTTAAATCAGGAATCAAAAAAAGAGAAGGAGAAAAATCCAAAGAATTTCAATCCAAAAAGAAACAATATTCACAGCTCTTATGGATGAAGCACAGTGAAACTGCATCCTTTGAAGGCTGAGAATATTGTTTTATGACCCTTCTGAAACACATACTTTACAGTTACAAAGCTTATATAGCAGGATAACAACTCCTTTGTCATGAGTTCTAATTTGGCAACTGAGATGGCAAGTAAGATGTAACAGAAAGACAGTTTTTGAACAGAGGTCTGCTACCTCGCTGAAGGAAAGAAAATGTGATGCAAATTTGGAGCAAGTAACATACATATCTGACAAGTTATGGGGTTTTCACAATATGCAGACCAACTAATTTGGGAAAACATATTAAGATACAAGATGAACTCTTATAAAAACCAACCATTTCTGCATTTGCACGAGCCTCATTTGCTTTGGTGTGTTCCCCAGCATTAAAAGCAGACAAGTCAAAATCATCTGATGGTACTGTTGTAGACCAAAGTCGAAGATTAATAGTGGTTTTAGTTAGATACCCAGGAATTGGAACATCATAGGCAACAGCCTTGATATCTTCTCCCCCAATCCAGTGACTTCTGCCATCTGACCCAGAAGCCACCTTTCCATAAAATTTTATTATATAGGATACATCATTTCTCACAAGTTCCCAAGGATTAGCAATCTGCATTAAGATGTGTATGTTGAAATATGAATATGTAAATGATGCCCATATAAGTAATCATCTAATAAACATCACAACGAGGTCTAAAAGAAAATGTAGCAACTATACCTCAAGCCAATTCTCAGCAGATTCTTCTTGGCCATCCTTAGTAATTAGTTGCTTAAATAACCCATACTTGTATCTTAGCCCATAACCCCATGCAGGGTAATTCAATGTAGCAAGAGAGTCAAGAAAGCAGGATGCAAGCCTCCCGAGACCCCCATTTCCAAGTGCAGCATCACGTTCCTGTCATAAAACAGCCAACATAAACAGCAACAAGTATGAAACCCATAAAAAAAAAAGAGAGAGGGGGGGAGGGGAGGAGATAATGCAACAGATACTTGTGATTACGAGATGGTCAGGCCTATAAAAAGATTTTCGAAATGAAGCTACAATGACCTACATTTGTTATAAGCCATAGCATTAACCTGTTCAAGCTACAACTAAAATTATGGATTTGCCACATTTTTTTCATATATCAAAGCAATTGCCACAGTTTTACAAAATTAAAATTAAAACTTAAATAATTTTAAAACAAAAAAAACAATAAACAAAAAACAAAAACAAAAACAAAAATAAAAAACAAAATTATTTGTGCTCAGAATTATGGATTGCCTGTGGGCTGTGGTAATTGTGCTCGATAAGCTCAAAGGTTTCTAAGACAACAGGACAATGTTTATACTAGACTACTTCATGAGAAGTTAAGATTGAAGTATCAATTGTTAATATGCACAAGGTATCTTAGATGCAAACAGGTAATGTCATATAGTAAGGAAAGAATGCTGAATAGTAACGGAAGCAGGATAGAATGCTGATGAATGGTCCCATGTCTCTTCTCCTTTCTACTTTCTGATAGTCATCACCAAAGTCCATGGTTTAGTGAATATGATTCAATTTTGCTCATATAACAGCTTATAGCATGAAATCAAGCTCATTGTACCATTGGTAATTAGGAGCTTCCAAAGTACTTCCTCTGTTTTTATTTAATTGACGCGTTTCATTTTGGCACACATATAAAGGAGAAGTGAGAAAGAAATGTTGAAGACAAAAATACCCTTATACTTACCCACCCACCCTTACCAGCTAGTCAGCTACTGTACCACTAACGAGCACCTTTCTCTCTCATCATCACCATTCACCATCATTCTCTCTCCTCCTCTACTCACAGTCTGCACCTCCATTCTAGATCATCTAACCTCTAATTTTTTTTCTTTCCTCCTTTTAGCAATGAAAATAAAAAAGCACAAACTAGCTAGCTGAAAATTTCAAATTCATATATACGATTGAAGGTTTTATCCTCTATAGCATAGAGGGTTTTGGGCGGCAGTGGTTTTGGGAGGTGGCGTCGTCGGTGGCGAGGTTTTGGTGACGCGGCGTGGTTGGGTGGAGTTGCAAGAAGCAAGGAGAAGCTTTGGGGATTTTAATTTAATGGGGTTTTATTTGGAAAATTGGGTATGTTACAACTTACATGGAAGAGAAGAGAGAGAAGTGGCGGTGGTGGTGGTGGTGGTTACTGTGATGGTGATGGTGAAGGTCTCATGGTGATGAATTTGATGATGGAAGTCGTGGAGTGGGAAAGCTAAACGTCGCCCTCGAATCTCTAACTAACGCCCGCAAAATAACCTAAAATGACGTACGTAGCCTTATTATTAAAATAATTATTTTTACTTAAACTTAACACTTTTACCCTAGACAAACATTTTAACCGTTCTCTCTAGTGTTCACCGGCCACCAACGATCACTTTTAACCACAAACCACCGTATATAATTTTCAAAATCAAACAAATAATTTTAATTTTGCAAAACCTAATTTGTTGGATCTCATGAAAGACGACGAAAGACCGGAAACACCACCTACGTTGCTCGCCAAAGGCTCATCAAACCGTACGGAATCGTTACGATTATTTAATTGTTTTGTTTTCGAAATACCCAGGAAAACGCCCAGAAATTTCGAAAAACCTACGCAGAAACGCCTAGTTTTTTTGAACACCCTAGGCAGTTTCGAAAAAACTAGGCGTTTCTGCCTAGGTTTTTCGAAATTTCTGGGCGTTTGCCTAGGAATTTCGAATTATTATTTTCCTTTTGGATTTGAATTTCACGTATTTGTTATTATTATTATTTTGATTATATTAGTTGTGTTTGTTATTAATAATTACTTGTGTTTGCTATTATAATTAGTTGTGTATTATTAGAATTATTATTATTATCATTATTAGTTGTTATTATTATTATTAGTTGTGCGTTGTTAGAATTATTATTGTTATTAGTTGTTATTATTATTAGTTGTCTCCGATGACCGCCTTCCTCTCGTCCTTCCTCGTCATTTCTGCAGCTAACTGTGTAGATCGAAAAACTGGAGATAAAAGAAGATGGTGGTGGGTGGTTAAAAGAGGAGGTGGTGGTGGTGGTGGTGGTAGTGGTGGGTGGTAAAAGGAGGTGGTGGTGGTGGTGGTTTAGAGAGAGAATTGTTTTTAAGAGAGAAGAGGGAGTGAGGGTTTTAGGGGGTAATTTATTTATTTTTTAATATAAGGGTAAATTTGTAAAATATATTTTATTTTGCAGGCGTTAGTTGGAAATTCGAGGGAGATATTTAACAACCCCCTTTGCTAAAGGGAGGAGAGAGAAGATGTGTTGGGAAATTAGGGATGGTAAAATTGACATTTTAACATATATAACTTACCTAAAATAGAAACATGTCAACTAAAAAGAAATTTCCCAAAAAGGAATATGTGTCAACTAATAAAAAACGGAGGAAGTAACATTTACTACGGAGTAGTTTCTTTTTTTCTTCCTAGTCTTCTTTATTAATAGAAGGTATAAAACATGCAATATAACATGCATTTCAACTTAGGGTAGCCTGAAGGCTGTGAAACCAGCAGTGCAAGCCCATACATCTACAAACAGTGTGTATTCGCCATTGGCAATTTAGGCATAGTGGGAGGGTCCAAATGAGAGGAAAAATTATTCTTAAGTCACCCTATTCAGTATAAAGGCTGTTTTCGAAAGACAGAGCCCACAATCCTACCCAGTTAGCGAAATATAAAATTTAGTCATGTGAAGGTGAAAATTTTCAAACAGGCAAGGATATGGGAAAAAAATAAGGCTTAAATTGATTAAGTACTCAAGCTTCCAAACCAGGCAACACCTAATGGCCAACAGAAAAAATTCCGACAATGCAAAGTCATCTATAAGAGCAACAGTACAGCAAATGTAGTACTTCTGAATCTAAAGCATAAAACAAACCTGACTAGCTACAGCTTCCAAATTGTGTCCAAGCTTTTTCAAAGCATCTCCATAGGCATCGGTAAGTTCCAAATTCCCAATTGCGTTCAACAATGCTCTGCCCTACAAACAAGAGAACAATTATTTAATTTTCATATTGCCATAGACAATATAAAAAAATTTATATCACGACCAACCAGAAAAGACTAGTAAGAGAACCTGGAGAAATTCCATGGACAAATAATAAGCTTGCTTCATGTTCATCTTCTCGTATTGGTCATAAGTAGCATTCCAGTTGATTATAAGTGAATCTCTAACACTCTGTGCAGCAGCAAAGAAAGCCTTGGGAAGGGAAAACTCATTGGGAGCAAACAAAGGAGTGAACTCCGCATGGTATTTAATACTTGAGGCTATTGAAGCAGAATCTGGGCTCAAGTTTCTTAATGGGTTAAAATTGCTTGAAGTCCCTGAAACATGAGTACGAAACAAATAAGTAAAACCCGAGAAAGAACGAATCAAGCACTTGAGAACTACCTATGCATACTTCATGTAAGTTGCTACTATCATCATTACTGTCGCTAGTACAATAATATTGGATGCTCAGACACTTAATAACAGCATAAATGTTACGTTGCGTGCTTGATAATCCAATCGAGTTGGTGTACGCCAGGACATATAAAAATTGGCCAAAAGGGGGATTTTAACTTTGCTCCTTACATTATCCACATGTCCATATGGTAGCTTTGAACACTCATAACCATTTTCCCAATATCTTCAAGAATTTCGGTTACAGACTATCCGATCCAACCCAAGTCCAACTGTCCAAGCAAACTAATATAACCTCCTACAGGATGTTGGTGATTGCTGACATCGTCTTTTTAGTTAAGTGACTATAAGAAGGCAATTACACTGAATTTACTCAGAAAACACAGATACAAAAACTGCCTGCAACTTTAATCTGTAACCTAAAATTTTAAAAATATATTTCTAAAAAAAAAACTAAATAAATAAAACATTAGTAACAACTGCTATGAAATATCGTCCCCATACTGCTATAAAACCCTGAAACATATAATCTATTTACTAGATGGCACTAATTTGTACGATGACTTCATCATCATTTCAATAAGTCAAAATAAAATTTTATTACATTACAAATTTACAACAAAACATACTAACTTAAAATATTTCCGTATGATGTTACTCCAACTCTTCATTTTGTCTAGACACTCACCCATGAATGACCATGACACTTACACAATCATTTTGTACCAAAATTATGCAACATTTCATAAAATGGTCATGTCAAACACTCGTACACGTACCCGTATTAGATACTTCTAGTTGAGTCCGACTTACATAGATATAGGGGATTGGGATTTCAACAATTACTATTATAACATTTTCAATCTTACCAAAACATCGCAACATTAAAGCTGTATAACAGAGCAATTTCAAAAAAAAAACCCAAAAATGATATAAAAATACTTAATCAAATTTAAAATAAAAACAATAAACAAACCTTCTTCAATGATCGGCTCCTGCGATTTGGGCTTCGAATCACTAAACACATCCTTAACAACAAAACATCTTCCAGTACCTCTCATAATCATATTTCTATTATTAATAGAAGAAAACAAAATCCTGGAATTATAACAGCCATTTTTTAAGCTGAATTCCATAACTCGAGAAATTGATGAACAAAATGAAGAACTATGTGTTCTTCCGCTGGTTGATGATGATGATAATGGCAATGTCGCCATAATTCATACAAATTACAAACAATCTCACAAATTAATTTTTGATTTTCTTTCAATTTCAGTGTCACTCAAAATACAGCCACTTGTGAATGTTGTTGTAGATTTTATAGAGAAAAAGAAAGTGAGATAGGGACATGGAAATCCGTGATGAACTGATTCAGCTTTCCGAGGCGGACCCCAATTATATTTCTCTTTGTTTATGTTGTTATTTGAGTCATTACGTTTATGTTTATGATTCTACTTTTACGACTACACTAATATTTCATGTGTAGCTTTATTTTTGCCCCATTTGACTGTGTGCGGTCTCGAAAACATGTGTTAAAATGTTTATATCTTTATTTTCATAAGCGTAAAAATTATAAAAAGTTGATATTAATTAAATTTACAATGAGACGAACCAAGATCACATATGACTATATTTCATTTAGTAGAACAACGGAAATCTATAGTCAAAGTTTTCTAAGTTTGACCCATATTGTGACAATAGAGCAAAAAAATAGGGACGGATGGAGTAGTAATTTTAGTATTCACTCCGTCTTTACAGACTTTTTTCACTATTTATGTATTAGTTTTAATCATAATTTTATCATAAAATATATTGTTCCATAGATATTAATATAGAGTTTTATAATATGATTTTTAAAATAATTTTCATTAATATTTAATTATATAAAAATAAAGCCAAACTAATGCATTGATGTGTGTGCAATGTTGATTGTGTCAATTATTCTGGGACAAAGGGAGTATATCTTTATTACTTTCACCGTATATGCAAACAAGTAATAACTACGGAGTAATATGTAAAATATACCACCTCCGTTTTTATAGTCGACATCAGTCTTTTATTACGCATGCACTATTTTAACGATTAATATCTCTAATTCTCGTTATTGTAAAATTATTAAAATGGATAGTAATAAAATATACATCGAAACGATTCAAACAAGATCTCACTTGACTATGTTTTATCATAGCTACAATTCACAAAAACTAGTCAAAGTATAATTTGTGAATAGTATCAAAGTCAAAATGGTGTCAACTAAAAAAACGGAGGAAGTATTTTTTATTAAGCTAACGAAAACTAAAAGTAGAAATATTATTTAAAATGAACATTAATTATACCGATCGACGCATAATTTTGATATGTATTCCTAAATTTATATACCTATAATAAAGCAGAGTTTTTATTAGGGAATTTTCGCTCCTAAACTCTACTTTTTTTTTTTTATGATTTGCCAAAAAACTTTATTATACTACTCCCTCCGTCCCTTATTGATAGTCCCTTATGAGGAAAAATCACGGGAATTATGAAACGTAACTAAGAAGTACAACTCTATGGGGAAAAGAAACTGATAATGATTAGCAAATAAATTCTAGAGAGAGAAAGTGTTTTTGCTTTGCTGTTTTCGGCTTTTGAGAAGAAACCAAAGGGTTTTTTTTTGTTTTTATTTAATGTCCACTAAGAATGCACTAATCAAAACTGAATCCATGTGAATTAAAATTGATCAATGAAATTAGAGTATTTCATTACAATACCCAATCAAATAAAAGTACACGGATTGCTCTCTAAATCAAATCAGAATTGAAACTCATTATAAAAAGATTTTCATTCCCTCCTAAACTAAATTTAAACTTTTCACGGAACCAAAGATAAGAACAAAAATATTTGAGTATATCCACTATCATCATTGCCTGTATTCAATGGCTTCAGACATGTATTTTGATTTGAATGTTGTTGTTGAAGACGTTGGTAATGAAGATGAATATCATGAAGGGGACTTCTTTGAATATGATCTTAATGCTGCTTACTGGTGTGAAGATGAGGAAGACATGGATGGAATTGATCCCAACCAAATTCCAGCAACTCAAGACATGGAAACAACAAACCAAGAGACTGACTTCAACAATCGCCAACAAGAAGAGCATGAGCAAGCAACACAGAATCAATAGCAACAAAATCAACAACCTGTTGGTCATCATAAGCACTGGCTCAGCAGTGGGGACAAGTTGAATATCCTTTTGTGGCTGTTAAACAGATCCACAAATGGCAAACTAGATAGGGGAGCAATCAATGCTGTTGCACAACATTTCAACATCAACAGGAAGTATATTAGCAGAATATGGAACAAGAGAAACAGGAATGAAGGAGCTGATCAGACATACAATGTCACAACTAAATTTCACAATGCTAGAAGAAAGAGGATTTAGATTCATGCTGATGAAGTGGAGAGTATTGCAATGAGTAACAGATCATGTCAAAGAGATCTAGCAACTATGCTAGGAATCTCTAAAAGCACAGTTCAGAGGATGGCCAAGAGGGGAGACATAAGGCCACACTCAAATGCCCTTAAACCTGCTCTTACACCAACAGACAAAAAAGAAAGACTCAGGTGGTGCTTAAGTAAACTCATAGGGGACTCACCAGGCACAAAAAGAGTATATCAGAGCATGTATAACACAGTAATGATTGATGAGAAATGGTTTAGCTTGACTAAAAAGTCTCAAATGGCATACTTGGAAAAAGGGGAGAAAGGTGCTCACATATTTGCTCAATCAAGCAAATTTATCTACAAATTTATGTTTAATGGAGCTGTTGCAAAGCCATGGTACAATGCACAAAAGGAATGCATCTGGGATGGGAGGATTGATATATTCCCATTCAAATATGAAGAGCCAACACAAAGGAAATCTAAATACAGAAAGAAGGGAGAAATGGTCACAAAGGTTGTGGAAAGAATCAACAGAGATGAATCAAGGAAGATGCTGATTCAGAATATCATACCAGCCATTATGGCAAAGTGGCCAAATACAGATCATCACAACACAATCTATATCCAACAAGACAGTGCTAAGGCACATACTGCAATCAGATCTAGTATGGAAACAATACTATGAGCAACCAGGCTTCTCATTCATTCTCATTCAACAGCCACCAAATAGTCCAGAATTGAACATTTTAGATTTGGGGTTTTTTAGGAGCATTCAGTCACTTCAAAACAAAAAAAAATGGCAACGAATCTAGAGCAACTACTAAAGGCAATGAAAGATGCATACTTTGAGTTGAGTGCAAAGTCTTTGTTCAAGTGCTTGGTCACATTGTACTTTGTGATGAATGAAGTGTTAAAGGCTAAGGATTCAAACAAAATTGATATTCCACATAAAAACAAGGCTAAATGACAGAGAAGGTAGACTGCAAGATCCAGTTGAAGCACCACTATTGGCAGTGGTTGATGCATAGGAAAGGGTTCATGGGAACAGAGAAGATACAAATGATGAACAAGAATAACAATAAACCCAAGGCACACAGAACAATGCATCACAACATCCATTTGTAATGGAAAATGACCATGAGGCATCAACATCAAATGCAAATGCAAGGAACAACCAAGAGTAGTCATTCAGATGAAGACATCTTAGTTTAAGTGCAAGGGGACTAAGTTGTTATCTTTTGAATAGCAACAACATTTGCAAGTCTGTTTTTTATGTTCGTTTTTTTTTTTTGTTCAATTAAGTATGAGTGGGAGGGGACTATGTAGATATCAAAGTGTTGTGGGTTCACTTTAACTGAATTCACAAGTGTAATCACATCTTTTGCCATGAAATGAAAACATACTCATTTTCTTTTAAAATAATGTGCTCACAACATCATTGCAAAACTTTTTTTTTAACTCAGAAGTCCCCAAACTCTCATAGACAATCCAACCAAACATCCACTTAACTTCAAGAGTCAGCAAAGCAAACAATTCAAGTTAATTTGGATTATTCACTAAGGACAACAGAAGTAAAGGGCATTTAAAGTTGGACATCTGAGCAAAAAAGACTCATCATTGTAAGAAAACAACCAAAACCTTATGTTGTTTCAACAGATGGCGTGTATAAATAGGTTAACATCTATGTAAAACTAATGACACACCCCATATGTTGAACAACACATGATTTGGATAACATCAAAGTAAGGTCTCAGGTAACAAAGTGTACATCATCAAAGGCATGATTTGGATTTAAGGAAAACAATGGTAACAAGTTGGCAAAATCATTTCAACCTATTAGCAAACTCATTACACCAAAGGGAAAGATAACAAACCACCATGTTATATGGCACAAACACAAAGCCAAAAGTAATCATAAATGTGTTTTCATCATTGACCATTGAAACATTATATACTTTTACCAAATGGGATAATTGAAAATTATACCTTAATAGGTACCTAATCCCATTTGCAAAAGTATATATTGTCAACACAGTTAATATGTAAAATGAGGTCTCAGAGTCTTCCTTGTATTCATTCAAGGCTAAGAGCTCAGCCAGATATAACATTTTTGCATGCAATATCCTTAATGGAAAATGGTACCTAATGGTCAAGAAGGATATACAAACTACCATGGTCCCTAAATCAAATAATACAACATCATGCCTTCTCAATGCAACTAGGTGTTTCGGGGTTTTAGCGAGATGTCCTACGGGAGAGTTACGTCACCAAGACTGGCTCCTCGTTCGTCTGTACCTACAACCAATGGAAGCTTCGGTTGTTCGGAGTTACGCCTCCGACGATCAAGTTAGTACGTGTTCAGAGAGTAAAATGCGGAAAGTAAGTAAATCTTCTCGGATCTCGAGATCAATTGATTTCTCTGTTGTAAGAGAATAATAAATGAAGTAATAAATGAAAGTGTCCCCAAAATGGGGTAAATGTCCCTATTTATAGGGCATTGAGATTTGTGCCCTTGCGTAGGTCTGAATGACCTACGTTTGATGGGCTATGCTGTTTTAGAGCGCCTCGGGAAATGGGCCTGAGAAGGCCGCCAATTCCATTTAGGCTCTGCAGGCCACGTGTGATGTCCTAGTTGCTCTTTAAGAGCATTTCGAGAGGAAACGTACGTGTCGTGCTCTTATTGGACCACGTGGCTGGGTAAAATTACCCAAATCATTTGCCCCTCACAGGGGTGACGTGGCGTACCACGTGGCACCTATGACAAGTGTCACACATGCATTGGTGAATAGTATTTTAAGTGTTTACCTTCTGTAGTAAATTTCAAAATTGCCCCTGAGATTCTATCCTTCTATAAATAACTTTTTACCCCCTCATTTTTGCATATTCACAAAAAATCTCTAAGAGAATCTTTGACTTTTGAGAGAATTTGATCGCTGGTGCTTGTGTTTAATCCGCCTACATCGCAGCCGTCCCAAGCAGCTTCAATAGTACCTTCATCCTAAAGATAACCGCCTGCTTTCCCTCTCTTTCCTGCTTTTTATTTACCGTTTGTGTTTGTTTTCCTCTGTTTTCAAAAATGGTTTCACAAACACACATGGCACGACCTATGATAGCTATCAGCCGGTCACCTGGGACGGCTGAATCTAGGACTAGGTGTGCCGCTTTACCCCTCTTGGACTCCCCCCTGCGTACATCCCCACATCTAGCCATCTCCGTGTTTGTATAAGACACTATGGCCAGAACGAAGAGAACGACCAGAGAGCAAAATGAGGACGGCTCCTTTAGGGTGCCAGTTAGTGAAGTCTCTGACCACCTGCCCAGTTCTACAAGTATGTCTGGTGACTCTATTTTGAGGGACTCAGGGGACGAGTAAAAAGTGATGCTTCTGGCTCGGTTCAGGGATCGTCCCATTCGGGCGATGAGTCAAGTGGCTCCAAGGAGAAAATTGGACCGTTTGCTATGAATGAGGAAATTAAGAGCTCTGAACCCGAATCCGAGTCGGCGGAGGAGGCAACCTCAGCCGAGAGAGGGCGAGGAGAGACTTCTTCCTCCCCCCAAGAAGAATTCACCCCTTACTTCACCCATATTTCTGCAGGCATCCAGAAAACATGTTCAAAAAATTGAACGACATCCGTGCCACCTACGTCATGGGGGCCGGTTATGAAATCCACGTTCCTGACTTGGATGATACGTCGTCTTTGGGTCCAGTTATATCCATGCTTTGGTTATTATGAAGCAACAATACAGGCAGGCCTAAGATTTCCCTCCATCCGACCATAGAAAAGATTTTGGACTGATACTGCTTGGAGGTTTGGCAACTTGCCCCTAATACCTAGGTAAACATACTGGGGTATGTCGCCGCCTGCGAAATGCTCAAGGTAGAGTCGGGCTTTGAAGCTTCTGCCTCAATGCATTATTTGAGCAAGGCCCCTAAATCAAGCGGTCCCAGTTGGTATACCTTGACTTGCCACAAAGGGTATATGATGATTGTTGGCAAGGAATCCAAGTGGAAGGACCGACGTAACAAATATTACATTATTTCTTCATCCGACACCCGGAGGAACAAGAAGTATAATTCTTGGAACCAAAACCCTTATCTCTTAGGACAGAAGGTTATCCTACCGCCTGTACCTGAAGAAGGCTGGGATCAAATCCTCACGCCTGGCCTTTTTAAAGTTACAACCAAAATCATAGAGGGAAAGAACAAGAGGGAGATAATTCCCCACAATTATATCTCTAGGTTTAAGTGGTTGACGGACGACATTTATCTTGCCGCTTGCGGCCTTAGTACAGAAAAACCTAAAGGTAGAGGGTCGATTGCGTCTATTAGCAAATTACTATTTATTTTTATTTTTTTAACCTCCATTCGGCCTATTTTTCCAGACGAAGCAATGGAGCACGTCTCTTTAAGCAAGAAACCTGCTAATTTTGCCGCCGCCTACCGCCAAATGATCAAGTAGGAGGCTCATACCTTCAAGAGAGATCAATTGGACCACGTAAGAAATATTTACCAACATTTTGTTTGCATAAATGCGGACTGTGCTGTCTTATACTGACAGCTTTATCTTTTAATCTTGCAGGAGGGATAGAACAAGCCGCCTATGCCCCCTCACTTTGGCCAAAAACCATAGAAACGCCCATCTGCATGACCAAACGCCTACCAAATTAAGGAAGACGGTGGCGCAGAAGAACCCCTCAGCCGCCAAATCTAGGGAAGACTCTTACCCCTCCACTAACGGCAAGTCTCCTACTTACCTAGAAGCTCTGAGAAAGCTAGAAGCCCCTAAAGCGTCGAAGAGCGGCCAGTTACTCACCACTGCTGTCAGCTCAGCAGTAGCAAGCGGGCTTGCCCCAGGCGGAGATAAAGAAAGATGTCATAGAGATTTGGAGGCTGACCTTCCTCAAGGTATTAGTGCCTTTAACCCCTTACCCTACCCTTGTCGGGTAAAGTCTTATCAGCAGTCGCCCAGTAGCTCCGAAGACACCCGATCTATAGGCCGAGCTTATGCCAACTTCTTACCAAATGTTAAATGTGCAGATGTTTCCCAGGGGTCGGATATAAAGCAGTTCTCCAAGAACATGTTCAAGGTCGTCTCCTCTGCTGAACGAGAGTTTGTAAGAGGGGTTGGCACCCTCAATTTTGACGCTATATTGGCTCTCCTGGCTGAGGTTAAACAACCAAGTTAGAATTTCTCTTCTATCTTTCTTATGTTGCCTATTATTAACAAGGCGTTTTTTACGGATGCAGGCAATGCTGCGAGTAAATAGGCTCAAGAAAACGTTATCGGACAAACAAAATGAGGTAAATAATGCCAAAGAACGGCCTGCCTCTGCCCTTGACCGGGCCATGTTTGACATTTGTAAAAATGAGGCACTAACTAGTGATATCCTGCATTCAAAGGCGGAGGCCAAACTGCAGATCAAGGCCCGACTGGACACGGCCAACAAGAGGGTTGCTGACCTCTAGGTTCAACTAAAGACGCCCAAGTCCAAGCTCGAGGCGCTTGAAGAGGCTGAAAAGGAGACCGACAACCTTCGTCGTCAGAATGAGACCTTAAAACAGAAGTTGTCTAGCCAGGAGGTGCAGTCGAGGAAAAAATTTGAGGCCAGGGCCGAGGAAGAAAAGAAACAGTTTATCTCTAACAATGAGGCCGACTGTGTCAAACGGATGAAGATGGCCTGGAA